AAATATATAAATCCGTGATTCATAATAGTTCTAAAACAAAACAAACAAACACCTTCAGTCACCTTAAAAAATAGTAAGAAACTATCCTCCATCAGGAAGCACATAATTTTTGGTTGTCTCTCCTTTTATAATGTTGGCAACCATTAATGATCAATGCCTTGATACATTAACTCATTAGGGGTTGCAAAACAGTGACATTCTACCATTCCTTTTTGTTTTACTTTAGCTGGAATACGTCTATAAAGAGAAACAGTCCCCTCCTCAAATAATTAGAGATCCTGAGATATAGTTTATAGAAAAGGTAAGATATATGCTCCATTCCCAATTAAGAGTCTTCAGAAACTGATTAACCAATTGTAACACATGGAAGTTTCCTGGATCCCAATTCAAAAATATTTCTAAATTCATTTCTACAGTTAAATTGCCCTACGTTCTTGATCCCAATTCAAAATAATCAGCTTTAAAAAAAAATGAGAAAACAGAGAGAGAGCAATCACATTTAAAGGACAGCTAAGAAATGTGCACACTGACTAAATATTTTATACTATTTTAAAAATGCTGTTTTTCTTTTAAAGAGTGCTGGGAGACTGGTACTGTGATTATGTTTAAAATTTCCCAGTTGAAATCATGTTGCGTTGCTGTAAAATCATGGGGAAGGGGATGTATAGGAACAATACTGGCAATGCTGAGTGATGAGTACATAGAAATTCACTGTATTATTCTTTCTACTTGTGAATGTTGGAAAAATTTCCATAATAAATGGTTTTAAAAATAGACAACCTCTTTTAAAAAATCAGTAAGAAAATGACAGAAAAATGAACCTAAAGATAGGAAGAGGTAATTGACATAAAAAGATGTTTACCCTCATTATAATTGATGAAAGGCAAAATTAAATCAGCAAATACCATTTCATATCTATCAGATTGGGAAAAATTATAGTTTGACAATTACAAGTCAAAAATGTGAAGAAATAAGAATTCTCATACACTACTGATATATCCATACTGTGGAATTACACTAAACAATACATAATATCAAACTAATGATACATATAACAACTTGGTGCCATTCATTGCTGCATTATTCATAGGAGCTGAAAATTAGATAAAAACTAAATATCCATCAATTACGCAGAATTATACTTATGAAATGAAAAATTATGTTCACACAAACCATGCACATGAATGTCCATAGCGGCTTTACTCATAAATAGCCAAGCATGGGAAACAACCCAAATGTCCTTCAACCAGTGAAGGGTTAAACAAAGAGGTACATCCATACCAGGGAATTATGTTGAGCAACATATAATATCAAACTAATGATACATACAACTTGGATAAATCTCAAGGGAATTATGCTGAGTGAAAAAAAACCCAATCCCAAAAGGTCTCAACCTTTTTGTTTTAGATCTTATCTTTATAACATTCTTAGGATGACAAAATTAGAGGCAGAGAATAGATTAGTGGCTGTAAAACAAAACCAATAAATGCATCTCTATCTCATAAGATTCTTGTCAGGATTAAAGTAAATAACTGGTGCATATCATAGTGATCAGTGTAGAGTAAAAGTGCTCAATGAAGGTAGGCTGCAATTATTACTCAGTGCTACTTACTCCCTTAGGTAGATCAAGACTATTCTGTAATATAGCATAAGTGAAACTAAAGTACAATATAACTTTATAGGAATTTTTAGTACTAATGCCCTTAATCATCAGGTCATACAGAAATCATGGTTTTTAGTTTCAATACTTTAAAGAAGCCCCAACTATGACTAACTGAAAATGATAACAGTTCACTGTTAAAAAAAGGAACTTCTTCTTTCTAGCCCCTTCTTGCCTGTAAAGTCTCTTTTGAGAAATCCGCTGACAGTCTGATGGGAACTCCTTGGTAGGTGACTGTCCCCTTAGCTCTTGCTGCTTCCCGAATTCTCTCCTTCATTTTAATCTTGGCTAATGTAATGATGATGTGCCTTGGTGTGTTCCTTCTTGGGTCCAACTTCTTTGGGACTCTCTGAGTTTTCTGGACTTCCTGGAAGTCTATTGCCTTTGCCAGATTAGGAAAGTTCTCCTTTATTATTTGTTCAAATAAGTTTCCCACTTGTAGCTCTTCCTCTTCCCCTTCTGGTACCCCTATAATTTGGATGTTGGAACATTTAAAGATGTCCTGGAGGTTCCTAAGCTTCTCTGCATTTTTTTGAATTCTTGTTTCTTCATTCTTTTCTGTTTGGTCATTTTTTCCTTCCTTCTGGTCCACTCCCTTGATTTGAGTCCCAGTTTCCTTTCCATCACTATTGGTTTCCTGTGCACTGCCCCTCATTTCAATTAGTTTGCCCTTCATTTGTTCCTCTAATTTGTGACTAAAATCAACCAGTTCTGTGAGCATCCTGATCACCAGTGTTTTGAATTGTGCAGACCTACAACCAAGACTGCTCTATCCAGCAAAGCTTTCATTTAGAATGGAAGGACAGATAAAGTGCTTCTCAGATAAGATCAAATTCAAGGAATTCATCCTCACCAAGCCCTCATTATATGAAATGTTAAAGGGACTTATCTAAGAAAATGAAGATAAAAAATGTGAACAGTGAAAGGACAGCAAACTCACAGTTACTAAGAACCACACCTAAAACAAAAGCAAACTAAGAGGACAGCTAGATCAGGAGCAAACCATAGAAATGAAGATCACATGGAGGGGTAGCAACAGGGGAATGGGAGGAGGAGAAGGGGGGAGAAGATACAGAAAATAAGTAGCATGGATGGTAGGTAGAAAACAGATAGAGGGGAGGGCAAGAATAGTAGGGGAAATATAGAATCTAAAGAACTTGAGACACATGGTCATAAACTTAAAGTGGGGGAATGGAGGGGAGGTGTGCAGGGTGGAGGGGAACGAAGGGGGGAATAGAACAACTGTAATGGCATAATCAATAATAAAAAAAAAAAGGTACTTCTTCCTGTTTCTCTAAGGTTAAAACATACCATGTAAGAGCTGCAATATCTATTTTTCCAGCTTATTTCTTAAGATTGATTTGTAGCCAATTTGCTTTTCATTTATAAAACTTAAACTCACAAATGCTTTGATAGAATTTGGAGAAACTTTTAAAATTTACTCCTACATGTATCGCAGGAACAGTTTACAAAGTGAATCCCAAAATGCCTGATCTAATACTAATTCAATTTATCAGGTAGAGAGCTGGGTACAGTAGATGAAGCCATGAATCCCTGTCCTAGAGGATTTGTGGTCCCTCATTTTAAGTATAATGGTATTTATTTTTATTTGGAAACACCCATGGATTGGATAAGAACTTGGTGATTTTCCTCAGAAACACAAATACCTGTGGACATTGAGCTTAGAATATTGTTCATCTCCCAACAAAGTGCTAGCCTACAACCTTTGAATTACCATATCCAGTTTAGGGTTCCCTCCCCACCCTCTGATTAGAGGAGCAAATCTGGCTACATGTCACTCTTCTTTAGGTTACCTACAATAACAAGCGTAACTTGGGTACATATTTCTGAATTTTAGTTTCTTTTAGGTATGTCTGTTCAGAAAACATCATTAATACGAAGATTTGCCAAATAAGCTCTACATACTTATTTATGTACATACCTGCAATTTAAAAAACTTAACAGGGGGACAAGACAAAAGTTCACAGCAGAAGGGCTTAGCATTTCTTTCTTTTACCCAGCATTCAGAACTAGGCATTGTTTAAGATGAGGGTCATGTGTACAGTCTATAATGAATCCAGTAATAAGCTGGTCTGCACCAAGACCACAGTGAGGAACAAGCATGTGTTTATCAACAGCATGTAGTACCTAGCAATGGTACAAGTGCCATGAAATCACATGGGGCAAAACTGACTCCTGAGGAAGAAGTTTAAACAAAAATGTCAAAAAATGTCAAAAGAAATATGATTAAGAATAAAAGTTTCTGATGGAGTTCCTCCTCCAGAGCTGGGAAAGCTGCTTGGGTGGCTAAGCTGACAGCTTTGTGATGGAGAACAAACTAGAATTCCATCTACGGAAGATTGAGCCCCAGAGAGGTCAATCTCCCCCCTCCCATCTTAGTTCAGGTAATAAAGTAGTTTATTAAAAAACAAACAAACAACCTCCCCACCAAAAAACCTCAAGAAACAGTTAATATGATAAAAACTAATTTCTTACAATTATAATTTTTTTTAACAAGAAAAAGCTCAAATTCAGCTTGAATACTTCCAATGAAGTAGACCGTGAACTGTTTCAACCTTTTTAAAAAACCCTGAGTTAATAATGTCAGATACCTTCTTCTCTTACACCTCTAAGAAAAACATTTACTTTGAAGTAGAAAGTTTCCACATAAAAATTCATTCATTCTCTCTGATTTGAAAGAACAACAAACTGTAAGCCAAACTCTGAGATTTACAACTGTTTCACAAGTGGCTAAAGGGATGTAAGCATGAGAATGTCAAGTCCTGATTTTAAATACTTTTTAAAAATTATCAAAATTAGGCCCTGGCTGGTGTAGCTCAGTGGATTGAGTGTGGGCCTGCAAACCAGACAATCGCGGTTTGATTCCCAGTCAGGGCACATGCCTGGGTTGCAGGCCAGTTCCCAGCAGGGGACGCAAGAAAGGCAACCATACATTGTTATTTCTCTCCCTCTCTCCTTCCCTTCCCCTCTAAAGATAAATAAATAAAATCTTTAAATATATATATATATATGTATCAAAATTACTCCATTTTTATTAGGAATATTTTTTTTTCACCTAAAGTTGTCTTCTACACAGGAATTAAAGAAAATAAAGAGGTCACAGAAACCAAATGCAGTGAGGGTGTAGAAAATATTTACTATACTTAAAGAGTTTTTTCCTTACAAGCTGTTTTTTCTCTGATGTCCAACATGCATTATAGAGGGTCTACAATGTGCTAGGTAGTACAAGAGAAAGGATGCACAGGGGAATTCCAATTGGTGGGATCTTTGAGCTCCTTGAGTAGACATCATGAGCAAAGTTCCCAAGCTAAAATAATTTATGGACAAGAAGTTACCAATGAAATTAAGTGGTGGCAGACATGTCCAAGGAATACTGTGGGGATTTTATCCCTTTATGAATCATGTGATAGATGAATGTGTGGAGATGGCCACCAGTAGGCAACGGAACAAGACTAGAATGGTGGCAATATGAGGAAATAGTATCGTCATGTTAAAAGTCTTGGACCGAACATAAAGAATGGCTGTGTTCATTTGAGAGATCGAGTGCTTCCAGAGTCCCTTCTCCATATGGTGTGGGTCACTGGGTTGGGTGTTGTCTAGCAAAATGAAAGGTTGCCAGTTTGATTCCTAGTCAGGGCACATACCTGGGATGTGGGCCAGGTCCCCAGTTGGGGGCATGAGAAAGGAACTAACTGATCAATGTTTCTTTCCTCATCTTTTTCCCACCCTTACCCTCTCACTAAAAATTATTAAGTAAAAATTAGTAAGTAAAAAATAAGATTTTTTAAAAAGCAAAAAAATCTCAGTGTCATAAAATAAAACTTGGACAGTTTTCTTTTTATGATTTTTCTTATTCCTGGAATCCATTTTGATTCTTCCCCCTTTTCAAATCTCCCCTCTCCCCTCCTCCCTGTCAACTTCTTTTCTTTCTAGTATAACACTACTGGGTTCATTGTTAAAATACATCAATACAAAAACTAAAAAGCAAGTTAAAGATCAAATACACCAGTTAATTTACATGTTAATCCAAATAATAAAGTTACACACTGCAGAGCTAGAAACACCTTATTTTACAGATCAGAAAACTATGAAAGGTTAAGAACCTGATGAGTTGAGCACAAGTTTCAGGGCTTTGACTCAGGGCTCAATATTTTTCCCATTACATCACAGATGTTGATTAAATTAAATTCTAATCATTATAGCAGTAATGAAAACTTCTTTGAATACCAAAGGGAGCAAACATATAGATAAATCCAAATATTATTTTTGTTTGACTTTAGATTTAAATGTTCAAACTTACAGATTACATTTAATAATCAAAGATAATAAAAATTAACCTACAGATAGTAAGTAATTACCAGTTGACAGGAATGCAGATAAAACAAGCTATCGTGAACCTAGTGTATTAGTTACTCTAAGATTTGTTATAAACAAATGTTAAATATGAAAACCAACAAACTATTATAGTTTCCCACGTAAAGTTACTTCACGTTCAGAAAATTTCTAAGATTTGTCTAAGAATTATCAAGGATAATTTTTTGAATTGATTTTTTGAGATGGAGAGGGTGGGAGACAGAAAGAGAGGGGGAGGGAGGGAGCCAGAGAGAGATACATAGATTTGTTGTTTCACTTATTGATGCATTCAATTCATTGGTAGATTCTTGTATTTGCCCTGACTGAGGATTGAACCAGCAACTCAGGCACATCTGGACAATGCTCCAACCAAATGAGCTTCTGCAAACTATTTGCCCATATCCATTCCCTTTAATGGTAGTAACAAAATTAGACAGACACACAAGTACACCTTGTTTGTAAAGGCTCTTCTTTGGAAGTATTAACAATAGCACCTTCTAAGAGTGCTGTTCACTTAAAAACTCAATGGTCTATCTTCTAATTTTGCACCTCCTTTTTTATGTAACATAATTATGTTTATTAATTTAATGAACCCACTAACAACCCACACTGACTTTAACTCAAGTACAACATGTAAAACAGACTCCTTTCTAAATTAGAATAGTATCAATACTGTAAGGCAGAGAGAGAGAGAGTGGATGCCAGGGCATTACAGACAGAGCTGCAGGAGCAAAGATGGAATATGCTTAACTGCAAGAGACACAAATTATCAATAATTAGACAGGACTGGAGGCTGTATGATCCAAATCAACCTTCAAAATGAACAAAAATTCAGAACCAGATGTCCATAGAAGTTGTATGCACATATATAAGATGTGTGTGTGTGTACATATATACATATATATATTTTTAAAGGAGAGTTGAGGTCTAGGGATTTGACAAAACTTTCTCCTTGACATGCAAGCATCATCAACACCTTTAACCTGGTGTTTCTCAAACTTTAGCATTCACCACAATCATCTGCATGGCTTATTAAAACAGATTACTGAGCTTGATCACCAGATTCTGACTCAGCAGATGTGGAGAGGAGCTTGGGAATTCACATTTCTAACAAGGCCCCAAGTCATGTTGGACAATGTTTTGAGAACCACGGATCTAAACCCAACTCTTTGCTCTTAAAATGTTATAAACTTTACTTATGCCTAATATGAAATACACTGACTGATCTTTTAAAATTTTTAAATCTTCTTCTCAGGCTTCAAATAGGTCTGAAAATAGTTACTGACAAGCAATTGTATTTCAAAGTTCAGAAGCAACCCAAGCACCATCTTCCCTTTGCCCGGAGCTCTCCAAGGTTCTGATAGCCTCCAAGCCTAGCAGTTCTCAATATTGAACCGAGAGAGCATTAATGTTCAAAGTCAAGATCACGAATCTTGGCTTTAATTCTCCAAGATTTCCTACGGTTATAAAACTTGGTCAGAGTCCTCCCTGACACTCCCTCCCAATGTGCAAATGCAGAGGAGGAGTCCAAGGCTACTTTCCACAAGATCACATAGTGATCCAAGCCTCTCTACTGATTACAAAAAAGCCCCAGGTTTATACTATCATAAGGATTATTCTTAGTGTTTTTGCTGACCAGTCAACCAACAATCCACTCCCACTTTAAAGAATTAAAATTTTATACAAATAACAAATATTACTGGCAAAAATTAGTAACAGTGATGACAACTACTGAAAGCATAGACCATGAGAATGGATAAGTATGGGTTGGCCAAAAATTCTGATTGTTTTTTTCCTGTAAGATGTCTCTACTAGTGCTTAGCTGTCTTTAACTTCTTTTGAAACAATATTGTTAGACTGTACTGTGACAGCTGTCATATCAGTGTGCACCTAAAAACAAACCCTCATCAAAAGTGGTTAATTTTTGTGTAGCACAGAAACTGAATTTTAATACTGAAAATGGAAGAAAATAAATGACTTTTTTGGCATATTACGCTTTATTATTTCAAGAAAAATTAAAATGTAACTGAAAAACATAAAAAGATTTGTGCAGTGTATGGAGAAGATGCTGTGACTGGTTGAATGTATCAAAAGTGGTTTGCCACATTTCATGCTCGAGATTTTCTTGCTGGACAACGCTCCATGGTCAGGTAGATCAGTTGAAGTTGACAGAGATCAAATCGAAACACTGAGAACAATCAACATTCTACTACGCAGAAGACAACCGACATACTCCAAATCAATGAAGTTATTGGTGAAAATGAAAATTATGTTAGGACCTAAGGAATGCAATAGTGAATAGGTTTTTTTTAAAAAAGTAAGGTGTGTAAAGATAATGATCTTTTTATTCTCCCCCTAATTACTAGCCTTTTTCTTAAGTCTTCTTTAGACTCTTTCTCCCTTCTTTTCTAACTATTCAATAGACAACTGGACTAAAAAACAGTAACAATTCAAGGATAAAACTGTTAATAGCTCGTAAACATAAGAAAAGACACTCAACCTCATTCATAATGAGAAATCCAAATTAGAACTATACTAAGAAAAATCAAAAGTCTGGGTTTTAGTTAAGAATAATGTACTAACATTGCTTTCTTATCTTTGACACAGGTGCCACAGTAATACATGATGAGAATACTAAAGAAAACTGAATTGGGTAAGAGGTATACAGGAACACTATGAACTATGTTCGCTACTTCTCTAGAAATCTAAAAACAATTTTTTTAAGGATTAAAAAAAATACTACACCAAAGTATATCATCTTCCACTTATTAGACTGGTAAAAATCAAAAAAATTCAAAACCAACCTTGTGACCCAGCTCCAAGCACTCTCACACATTGCTAGTGGAAGTGCAAAATAGTATGACCGCTATAGAGGGCCATTTGACAATTTCTGTAAGAAATAGATATACTCACACCTTTATGAAACTATGTTTATTCACAGTTCTTCACTGAAGCACTATTTGTCATTAAAAAGACTGAAAATAATCCAAGTTTCCTTCTATAGGAAACTGGATAATAAAATGGCACATCCAAACAAAGTACACCATTATGTAGCACTAAAAAAGAATGAGGACACACACTACATGCTAATATGGGACAGTTCCCAGATTATATTCATTACAAAAAAAAAGTGTCAAAAAGTACATGAAATGGCATGCTAAGAGGGAGTATAAAAACATAAAACCTGGCTGGTGTAGCTCAGTGGATTGAGCATGCACCTGTGAAGCAAAGGGTCACTGGTTCAATTCCCAGTCAGGGCACATGCCTGGGTTGCAGGCCAGGTCCCTAATGGAGGACACATGAGAGGCAAGCACACATTGATGTTTCTCTCCCTCTCTCCTTCCCTTCCCCTCTCTCACAAAATAAATAAATAAAAATATTTAAAAAAACCATAAAGTCTTAATTATGTGCTTGAATTTGCATAGCAAAACCCCAAAAGAATATATGGACTAATAAAAGTGATTCCTTGTAAGGGGAGGGTGACTGGAGTGAAAAATGGAAAGGGATGAGGTTGTTTTTATACATTTTTATTTTGAAATCATCTGAATGCATAATCTGTTTACAAATAAAATAAAAGAATGTTATTCTGTGAATCTAAAGAGGTTTCGTTTTAAAAATAATATTCAGGGTCAGTGACCCCTATATACTATCTGAGATTTTCCCCACTTTCTGTTCATTTACTTTCTCATTCACTCTCAACCAATCATCCAACAAATGCAGACTGAAGGTAAAGAGCCTCACTCAGACGTCTGGGTGCAGGAAGTAGCTAACCACTACAAACTCATTCTATCATTGTATATAATGTGTACAAGAATATACATTCTACTCTCGTATCTAATATATTTAATAGTATAAAAATAATAAGTCACAGAAAGATAACATACCTTGATAGCCCACTAAATAATCAGGAATTTAAGAGATTAAACAGCAGTATTCTTATAAGCAGATTAGTTTTAATGTTAGCAGAGTACTGAATGGACAAAGAAGTAAACTCCGTATATTGGAAGACATCAGATGTTTTGAAATAGAACTCTTAATAGAGCTGCAAAAAACCAAACGTATAAAAAATAAAGCAGAAGGCGATGAATAATTAATTTCCTTCACTAAAGAGACTGTGCT